TCCTACACATATGAAAGTGAAATATTTAACCATAATTCTCCTTACATCGTTAACTTCATCAACGGAAAAAATCACACCTGTTATCACGTGCAAAAAGGACATAAAAGGAAAAGATAAAAATATAATTTTATTATCTTTTTAATTATTAATTTTTTACAAACTTCTCGCCCTAGTTGATTTTCTCCTCCCCTCCTCTTTCCAACCTGCTCACCCGCAGCACCTGCTCGCCCAATCTCAACTCCAGGTCTTGTTCGCTTCTAGTTTTTGCTACTCCATAAAATAGCTCTAAAAAGCAGTTGGTGTTCTAGGAAGCAAAGATTCATCTTTTGGGGTTAAAGAACAGAATTTGCTGCTCGCAGATGTGTGATTTCTCTTTGGTCTGGTTGATGTCGTAGTGATAATGCACCATTTTGTGCAAGCATTTAGTGTATATTTTAATCGTGTAGATATGCAAGGAACATGAGATTCATGCATGGCATTCTGATTGCCTTCTTTGATCGAACCTGAGAAAGGAATGAAAGCACCAATTAAAATATCCCACCCATATTATCTCAACACTTTTATACACATTTTTTTATAAGAGTATGTTTACATGATAAGAATTGAGGTTAAATGTTTCAATTTCGTAAGTGTAAGAACTACAATACTATTTTTTAAATTATAGGGACCGAAATGCTAATCATAATTAACTATAAGGAATAATATATAATTAACCCTATCATTTGACTAATTTATTGCAACGATGCATGCCTGCTATGAGGAATATAATGGTAGCATAGATCGTTATGCTTTAGAAGCATGTTCATGCATTTTCATTGGTCCTATCCTGATCTATCCTTCAATAAAATTGTTGGTATCCATGCTGTATATGGTAGATTTATGCACAAACACACAGACTTATAGAGCTTCAGGTGTACCAACTTTTGATACTTGTGATAGTTTACTTGTAACAAGTGATACCAAATCTAAAGCCCCTCCTTGTCAGCTCTAGAAGGAATAAAAATAGGTTCTAGTCACTATATTGTCAAAAGGACGCATGATCAATTCTACATGTGAGTTCTATTTAAGTCCTAAAGGACGAGCCCTGGCACCACAGTAAGGTTACTCTTTGTTACCGAGGTTCAAGTAATGAAAACATCTTTTCTACTTGGAAGGGTGAAGCTGCATATATTGAACAGTCATATTGGCAGAATTTGATTGTGGCACACTTCTCGGGTCACCTCAAACACAAAATCACATGGAAGCACTGTTATTAACAAGTAATTGCAATACTACTTAATCTTTGGTAACAACAGGCTTAAAGTCAATTATTTTACAACCTCAACCTGTTCCAGGCAAATCGACAAGTGATTTTAATGAGCTACCAAAATGAATTTGGTTCAACTAGGGGGAGAAGAAACCTAGTTTGCAAGCAAACTCAAACCTGATCATTCAGGTAGCAAAAGGGTTACCTTACTGTTACACCTAGGCTTGCCATTAGAGAAAAGGAGCGACCATCATCTGTTGCCTTCTTCGTGGTCCTAAGTAAGAACATCTCAAACTCACAATATCACGTAGAAGAATTGCTATTAACTAGTATATGCATTGCCACAGTCTTTGGAGACAACAAGCCCCAAAGTTGACTATAAAGATTGATCACCCACAATAAATGAGACACATTTTTCTCAAATGACAGACAAGGTATCTCCTTCCTAGAATACAAACAAGGTGATTTCTCATCCTAATGCTGGACTTTTTTTATTTATTATTTTTTTAAATAAATTTATTTATTTAGGGGGGGATCTCATTAGTTACCAATGTATCTTAAAGAGAATAAAAAAAAAGAAAGCCAGACAAAAAAGGAAGGAGACAAATTTTAAGCTTGGTTGCTAATTACATAACAGAAATGAGAAGTGGCCTATAAATAAATTTCATCATGATCGAACATTTTACAAAAAAGAAAGCTTATCAATCAAATATCTTATTAATGAATAAAATTATTTGCCAACAAAAATTTGAAAATTCATCTTCCCCAGAAAAAGAAAAAAAATTGATAGATTTATCTTGATGTAATTTTCTTATTTTCACAGTTTTCCTTTTTATTTCATGTACTTAAGAGGTTTATAAAAAGAGCCAAAAGAGATTATAATCAGAAAGATTAACAAATGAATGAATGAAAAGTGTATTCCTATTATTACATGTCAGAATCAGATTTGGTATCAAAACATGTATCCTGTATCATATCATCACCCTTATTTCTCTTCCTTCTCAACGGACACACCGACTCAAAAACTAACATGATCTAATAAGGCCAATTGCACTAGGACAACAATCAAGTCAGAGTATCAGCAGAGGTTGGAAATTTCAAAGCTGGAACATTGTACACTCACATAATAGTGCACTAGGCATCTGTTTACCTTTAATAAGATCCAACTACAATGACACATGAGTGTCTAACAACATACATATGCCAATATTGAAATCAATATCCTAAGCATGTGGAATGTACGCTATGTAAGTGGTATCAAACAACCCAAGAATATGACAATGTACGCTCATGACAATTCAATTGAATCTCCAATACATCCTAAGACTCATTTACTACATAGGCATCCCTACAACCTGTGCCACTGCTCATACAATAACGAACAGCCATGTACCACCAAGGTGTCACAATGCATACTTACCTACTACATAAGCAATTTTGCGAGAAGACAAGAGTGTCCAAAAGCTTGCATTTTGCATTATGCACTCCAATGATCAGGGAACATGTATAATAATATATACATGCATCTGTGTCTTCACATGTAGATGCGGATCGAACACTTTGAGCCTCCTGAATGACACATGGTCGACCAAGCACCCAAGAAATTGGCCATAATAAAAATGACAAATTGTATGTTGCCTAGGCACCCTAAGACAGATTTATTACCTAGGCGTAACCAACCACCATGCAACTACCTCTAACACCAATGACCAACTATGTAACACCTAGATGTCCCAGTGCACATTTGACACCTAGGTGATAACTCAACCATTCAAACAACTAGTCTGAAGGAGTGATCACTACCTAGGTGGTAAACCAACTACCCAAGAAACTTCCCGAAAACACTAATGATCTACCATCTATGGCCCAGGCATCTTGAGGTGCATATCCTACCTAGGAGGTAACAACCAACCACCCAAACGACTGCTTGGAACAACATGACAACAATGATCGACCATATGATGAGAAAACTACTAATAGTATTCGTGTGATGGAATTGACTAATAAAGCATCAGGACAAGTTTCATCCAAATCATAAACAAATGTAAATATGTGATGCCTGTTTTACATAATGACCCGTCCAATTTATTTGACATTTGCGAAAAACTTGTAACTTCAAAACATATCCAGTTTTCGACGAACAAACCTTATTTCTAATGTTTTTATTAGGTGCTTAAGTTAACTGAGAGTATAATCTAATTTGGTTTTAAATAATAAACTGATAAAGTAACACAAAACTAAGCTCTTATGTGCAAAAACCTTGTGCTCTTAGTTCAGTTGGCTTGTAATCTCAACCAAGTTCCTGCTGCTAACTATATTTGGCTTACAAAAGAAACCCCTTTTTATTTCCAGAAATAGTCTCACATATATATGTCCTGCCTTATATATGTGATGTCATACAAAAGAAATTTTCAGCTCCTTGATGAAATCTTTACAAGCCACCTGAAGGAACTACAAGGACAACCCCAATTTGGCCCTGATGGTGTTCTATGTGGAATGGTCTGTTCTGCTATTCTTTCCCTTGACTGCTTTCCAATGTAGCGAAGTACTTTGAACAACATGGTGCGTGAATATTTCTTCAAGAGTATATGATACGGAGATGAATTAGCTGTACACAGGAATTCTATGCTGCTCACGGAACCGTAGGAATCATAAAGGCTATCAGCACTTGTACAATTCTTCAAATATTACAAATATTCGTTTATAGTTGGAAGTCATCCTGATGAAGTAGGAGTATCGCTAAAACTTTGGAAGACACACGTAGTCCCTAAGCTTCTTAATGAAAGATTAATGCCAATCATGACACGGTAAAAACAAAAGATTCTGGTGCTTGAGGTGACCTAATCGACGCAAAGAAGCAAAATTCAAAACAGGGCATCGATGTTCGATATAGAGAACATTGAGATTCAAGAAAAGCGAGACGACTTACTAAGGGTATCTTGGACGCTTTGTCATTCCACACGGCCAGCAAACCGAGCGACGCGAAGAAGCTCAGCACAGCCACGCCAACGCTTCGTACCGATTAAAATCCCAGAACCCAAAGAATCACGTATGACTCCATTCTCACATTATATTAGTCATCCAAAGAAAACCAGAAACAAAATCCTAATTTCAGGAGGATGGGTGTACCTTTCCGACGGTGGGAGCGAGGCGATCTATGCAGGGCTCCGGATAAGGGGTGCCGTTGTCCCAAACCATGCCGGAGCGCGACCGAAATGCAGAGGCGGCGGATCGGGCGGCGACGCCGTTGTCGCCCATGATGCGGGATGCCACGCCGCTCAATCTCCCGGCCATTTCTCCCTCCTCTCTCACTCCCTCGAGCTTTCTTCCGTTAAGCTATGGGGCAATCGCGAAGACTCGAAAACCGTGGGCGGTTCGCTTCGATGTTTACAGTGCCATATCGGATCGGAACTACACCAAAAATGAAACCGATAAAAGCGTCGGATCCAAAAGTGGATCCGAATATGAATTTTCGGGTCGGGTTCGTTGGCGGACGCCCCTGCGGTGTATGTATCATGGGCCGCAAAATCTCATCTTTGCGATTCCGAGCCCAATTGTAGGGTGCATCAACGATAGTTCAGTTGATTAATATGAGTCATAATTAAGCAAAATATGATCTTATTTCACATCAAACCTTCCTGTCTTAAATCATAAAATTTAGGTCAAGACAATAAGTAATTTGCATTGTTTAGACTCTGAGAAGGGGAAACAACACAATGGGTTTCGCCTGACGACCACATTAATTATGCAGCAATTTCTGGAGTAGTACATCTTCTATTCTGTATATATTTCATGACAACGTTGTAAGAGTATGATGCATGTAAGAGAGCTCGACAACGTCGCGTTACATCTCCATTTGGGAAACATCGAGGAAGATCAAATTTCTGAAAGCTTCCTACTTATTGTGAATCGACGGTCCTCGTTGAGCTCTTGGATAGTCCATTGAAGATACGTCGGTGAGAACTCCCGTCTCATTGGATCCTACGTATTCTTCGTTGTACTCGCTCGCTCGCAATGCTCGCACTCGCTTCTCCAGCCTCGCCTACAGAAGAATACACAGATTACCACCTTGAATCCCATACAATTCGAGGAATGCATGAAGCAGGTGCAGGCATTTAGTATCCATGTGATCTTGAACCCTCGATGAGGAGGAGACGGTGCAGGAATAGACCATGAGTGACCATATCCTCTATGCTATAATTAGCTATTGGTTCCATAACTGCAAGTATTCTAAGTACTTAATTTCTCCAGACCCATCCAAGATTGGCAAACGACTTTCTCATTTACCTTTGATTTTGTTGTTTGAGGCAGCCCAGCATGAAAGGAAGGCATTGGAACCTCTCTTCCTGCACAATCTATCGCTGTTAGGAATCCTGAAATATCCATGTTACATGTAGAAAGATGTAGGCAAGATGGTCGAGATAATTCAAGGAGTTCTCATCTATCATTCAAGTGCAATCCAATGTACAAAGACAAGATGTCTAAGCCACTGCAGCAAACAAAACGCATATAGCCAGTATAATCTAACTAATGTGAGGCTTATCAGATGTGTATATGTTTGAAGAAGAGTAGGACTCCACTACTTGTTTCTATCGCGGTGTTTGTGGGAACAAAGTTCAAAGCTTACAAAAAGGAGGGGAGAGTGTGGCATTGGAGTGGGGTGTATCAGTTGTGTGATGGAGGATGGGTCCTTGGTTCAGCATAATCCACATGAAACCCAGGGTGCTCCTCCAGTCCACGACCAGGCACACGCCATGAAGCGTCAACAAGTGACGGGTTTGGAACAGCACCTGACACTACTGCACCCTTCTTCCCCTCGACGTCTTCTCTCGGATCATCTGCAACACCTTTGGATGACGATGATTGAGGTGTCCTTGCCTGGACTGGAGACTCATCAAGAACGATCACCTTCGGAAAAGCCTAAACAAGAGAATGAGATTAATGGCATCTCAACAACGATAAGAAGCCTTGGTACTTGATAGTGTAAACGGAGTTGCACCAACCTCGTTGGATATGTGATATGAAGTGTCTGAATCTTTGGCAGTCATCCTCAGATGTCGAGCACTGCATGCGGTGATAGAAAGAGCTGACAGGAGGAGGAAGAAAAGAGCAACAGAAGACATGTTTCGCCGAGTCTGAGAGTTCGACGATCAAAGAGTATTTGTAGACGGCGGCATTAAATGCAGTCTCGCATGGGATCGACGTGAAGTGACGGCAGTGTTTCCTCTAAGAAGACATGGAAAACTATAGCAAACCAGAGAGAAATCAGAGAGAAAGGAGGGGATATGGAAGGGTGTACTGCTTTGTCTAATCCTTCCACTACTCCTCCATTGACAGAACCAGGGAAGAGGAAACTGAGAGGCTTCAGTGGGAGCATCATATATAAGAGAACATGGTGTTGAAGGAGTGAAGCCCAAGGAGGACTTGAGGGCCCCTCATGTTTCTATAGTGAGACCGAGTTAACAGGGAATTAGGCAATTTTGTCGGCTACAACAGGTTTCCTGCCCCCACTGTATACTAATACCAAGTCAGAAAACAAAGAAGTCTTACGGAAGTTGACGGCTTAAAACCCTGCAATTGTCTAGAAGTCAATGCTGGATTAAGTTAATCTTTACATATATCTATGCTGGAAGTTTAATTAGATCTGTTAAGCGATTAAGAGGACAAGTAAGAAGCAATGTTTACGTTGAGTTAGATCGAGTTGTTCGTAATAGTTTTTGACTGCCCTCAAATTGACTTTCGAGCACTACCTACCACGGTTCCTGTGGGCCATATGCCACGTGGAGAAGGGGAGGGTGGGGCCAGTGAGATCGGAGGTGGGGAACGGCGGGGGGGTGTGGAGGACGACGGCGCATACCGAGGTGGGGTTGGGGAAGGTGTGGGATGCGGGCCGAGTCGATCGGGTTTGACTCAGGCCGTGTCGGGTAAAGGGCGTGCAAAGGGCGCGAGTCACGGCGCGTCGGTCGCTCGGCTCCGTCGTCTCCACGGCTCCTCCCGCCCATCTCCTTCCTAAGAACGATGATAATAGTAACAATAATAATAATGATAATTTACGGAAACTTTTGCCTGTTTACCCCCTTACAAATAATTATGTTTTCGTTCTTAAAATGTTTGATGTAGCATCTCTCTCGAATCCCTCCAAATACTAAGATCTCACGTTAAGATTCATAAAAAAAATCGCAATTAATCACTTTAGATAAGGATTATTAAATATTGTTTAAATTTAACACATTTATGTATAACAATTCAATTTTCATTAGCATATATCATTAAAATAATGCATTTTAAAAACATTATTATCAATTAAAGTTTCGTTGTAAAATGGTTCCAGAATTTGTTTCTCTCCTAATTATTGCTTTTCAAATGTTATTTTCTTTTTCTTGATGAACAATTAGGGTTCATGTCCTGTCTCTTTCAGCATGTTCTTCCAAGTTCTTAACTCTAATCCATTCCAATTCCACAGCTTAACACCCTCATCCCATCTGGGCATGCAGAATGCACACTATAAACAACAAGTCACGTAATAATAGTTGGTAGAGAAATTGAAGACAGCATAGTCAAACATGGGCAACCCTAAGAGTTAAACAAGTTCAACTACAACAGACAGTACAGCAGCAAATAGCCAAGCACACAAGTGGTCACACACAAAAAGTTCATCGGGACTCGAAGAGGTTATGCTGATTCTGAAATCCTCAAGTTGGTCAGATGTTAAACTTCTTCTGCATAGGCCGGTTCGAGGATCTCGGCCTCAGCTTCCTGCACCTCCTTCTCCGTCTTCTTCCCCTTCTTGGACTTGTAGTAGACACTCATAAAGGTCCCGATCGCCCCATATTTCTTGCGGCAGTGCTCGTATTGCGATCCATCAAACATCCGCCAGAAGTTCTTCTCGGTGAGCTCGGAGACGGCGTACTGTGGCTGGAACCCGTGGTTCTGGATCAACCATTCCTCGAGGTTGCGGACAGCTTCGGCACCGTTGAACTCCTCACCGCGGAGCACGGGACCTGGCGCATAGTACACCCCGATGTCCGTGAACATTTGGGCATAGCTCGTGTCTCCCTGTCGGTGATGATGCTCGAAGCCTGGTTCTGGGTACACCATGGTTTTCACAGGAAGCTTGAACAACCGATGTGGACAGAGCCATATCGGATAAACCTGAATGGCAACAAATGAAGGCCAACTCTTTATCAATTATACGTAGCAGGCATCACTAAATGGTAACTTGAACTGTTAATGTTCCATCAATGCAAGTTGATCAATAGCATGACACGAAATTTCTAGTTCATATATTGTCCATGGTTGGCAATATTTTAGAATCATTGCAAGTACTAAATCCAACTTAAACAAATGCATACTAGCAAAATTCCATACCATGTTACTAAGTCATGGATAATTACCTCCATTTCATTGTGACAATATTCTAGAGCATCTCCAACTTTGTACAGAGGAACCAACAGATCCTGGATCACATGCATATCATGGTAGTAGTTCCTGACTGATTCACCTTGAGTGGCCTTGAGCAAAGAAACCTTCGGAGGCATCAACCAGCCCAAAAACCATCTGAACCACCACTGGTCTCCAAATGGCAGGATCAGCTTACCTTCCCAATACAAACATCTCGTGTGCCTATGGTAATACTCTCTAGTGGGTATGTACTCCACAAACTCACCCTTCTTGAGTGCTGTCTGCGCGTGCTGGTAAAACCAAGGTTTAAACCACCACCCTACGTTGTTGATGACATTACCCTTCTTCTTCGCTTCTTCTTTAGAGGCATATCTCCCAGTCATGTGCACAGCCTCCGTTGGATTATAGATCATTCCCTCAACAAAGTCTGGAACCTTCGACGGATCTCCATCTCTGGGTGCAAAAGAATCCGCATAAGCCTGTGCAAGTTCCTTCAGGGTTCCGCGGTATGGGGTATAGGTAAGCCTCATATATTCCTTAATGGGTATTAGTTTTATCTCAGCAGAAACTAGGAGACCGAGAGTTCCCTGCGACCAAGGGATTCCATAGAAAAGGTCAGAGTATTCGTTATCCTTTGTGCACCTCACTACTTGGCCATTCGCAAGGACAACTTCCATGGCAACAACTGTATCGGAAAAGAGCCCATAAATGTGTGAGCTCCCCTCGATGCCATAACCATTAATCAGTCCACCAACAGTGAGATCGTCAAGCTCTGCAACGACGGCAAGTGCAAGATTCATAGGAACTGTATATCTAGTTATCTGGCCCATATTAACAAGTGGCTCCACCTTAGCAACCATTCGCTCTTTATCAACCTCGAGAATGTTTCTGAATGCAGAGAGATCAACTTCAAAATGCCTTGCGCGTTTATAATCAACATTACGCATGCCAACAGCAATATATGGTTTCCTGGCCGTGCACACAAGACCATCTTTCTGGGGATCTCTCTGCTTGAGGCGATTTACAACTTTCTTCACATTCTCTTCATGTTCCTTCTGGCGACGCTTTTCAGATTTCATTGCGGATTTCACATCGCCCAAAAATAGTTTGAAATAGATAAAGCAAGAGACTGGAAGCACAACAAAGATGACAACAATCCATCGGAACTGGACCAGATAATCCACCAAGACTTTCTTTCTTTTGGGTCGTAGAGGTGCTTGCAAATCAGACATGATTGGTACCTGAATTTTGGCAAAACAAAATGATCAACAAACTGTTTCATTTTCTGCAACATTTGTGATCAGGTAGCTTGGTGTACTTGACTCCCACTACCATGTACCCAACTTGACTCCACAAACGTAATTGTTAAACAAGTCGAAGAGTGATTTGTGTATAAAGGTCAGAAAGACACAGATTCATGCATTGACAGCATGTAGTCATAAACCTAATCCACATCTTTATATAGCACGATGAATGAGATGTAGATCTGGATATATGAAAACAATTTGAAATTATTTTCAAACCAACCCAGGGCAAGGCTTGTACTAGATAAATATACATTATATAGAGAGAGTGCTCATCTCATAAAATGGAGATGCTATAGTCTAACATTGAAGGATTAGCAGACTGGTAACTCAGAGTAATAAACTTGCCACTGATATTGCTAGGGGCAATAGAGACCCAACGTATAAAAATACAAAATTCTTCAAAACAGAAGAGAGGTACAAACGCTGATGTTTCACGAACAAAGAGAAGACAGAAACAAGAAATCAAGTCATTTTTTGCTAATATATGCTAGATCTTTGTAATTGTTTTGGATAATCATTAGGACGGACCACATGTCAGCAACAACCATGGAAAATTAAGCACCCCCAACTACAGGGTCAAAGATAAGCAACAAATTGAGAGAATGTTGGGTTGAGAAGGTCCAATGCTCGATGATCCTGATAGTTCATAGTCGAACCTCATGCAGCATGACAAAAATTTCGGACAAGCACCAGTCAGATTAAAGATAGTCACCTAAGTGGCTGCATCACTTGGATCAGTCATTTATTATTGCACAGCAAGGGAAGCAGAAAACATGTTTGAAAAATTGGATGATGTTATGCTAGAAAGTTAACAAACAGTGTTCTTAATCTAAAAATCTGAGCAATGAGTTGAGATACCGACATGCAGTCACTTATGATTGCATAGCAATGGAAGCAGAAAACATTTTTAAAAATTAGACCTACTGGAAAGTTAACAACAGTATGTTTAATCTGAGCAATGACTTGAAACTGACACCAACAGGCAGTCACTTGTGAATGCACAACAATGGAAGCAGAAAACATCTTTAAAAATTAAACCGACATTCTACTAGAAAGTTAAACAAGAGTATTTTTAATCTAAAAATCTGAGCAATGACTTGAAACTGACATCATACCGAGAAACCAACTTCTAAGAGAAAACCAAACAAACAAAACAAAACTTACTGAACAATGCACATAAGGGAGTGAATGCACAGAGAGTAGGAAATGCTTACTTAATCAAGGCAGTAAGAGGAAAAAAAAAAAGAAGAAATTATGCTGGAGAAAGAGGAAAAAGGAAAAGAACTGTTTTTTGCATGACAAAATAAAAAAACATCAGAAGATCTAACAAAACTGGAATAACTATGACAAGCGAAACAAAGTTGCAATTTTGACGATATTGCAAGGCACTATGGAGCAAGAAAGAAATATCACCCGCTTGCTAACGACAACTACATCACAAAGAAGTAGTAGCAGAACGATCCACACACAAAAGTTGAGGAACTTATAAGATCTAACAAAAGCCGATCGACAATGACGAATGGAGAAAAAGTTGAGATTTTGACCATAAATGTAAGCCACTATGCAGTATGAAAGCAAGCTTGCACACTTGTCAGCAGCAACCACAGCACAAGGAAGTAGTAGCAGAAAGAAAGATCCACACACATACACACAGCCAAGCATCATTTACAGGGTCTCTTCAAGAAGCGGAGCAGGGTAGACCTGATGATCAAGGAGGGAGGAGGACGGCGGGGTAGATGAGGAGAGCAGGCCGCCGGGGCCTCAGTCGACGGAAGCAAAGGGGCCGGCCAAGGGATTCGGGTGCTTGGGATGTGTCAATATAGCACCAAAAGATGCTCTTTCTTTTTCGCTCTCTCTCGCCCACTCAAGTTCTATATGGCAGGTGGCAGATGATTTCTTTATAGTAATATATACCCAGAAAAAGGTGTCACAGCAAGTGGCATGCTCTTGCTGTCAGGGTGTTGGTTTACAACCTTAATATTAATAATAATATTAACGAGAATTCATATCATTTTTATGAGAGTGCATTATAGTTGCACAAGAAGATACAGAAATCCACTTTTGTTGCTGCGGAAAATATTTATATCGAGAAATATCAGAGCAAATCCAACTCATTTTAACAGTTTGGTGGAGCAAAATATCATCAATCACTTGTTTATATTGCATGCCAAACATGTTGAGAATTTCTTTTCCTGCTAAATCTTCGCCGATAATGTTGGTGATTTCATTGTACAAAACATCTCTAGCTGTCAGCCACACAGTTCACAGTAAAAAAAGCATCCATCCTCTAAACTGATCATGGCAGCATGTCCACAGAGTTGTGGAAATCCTCTTTTGAGATATTACAACTTCACTGTCAGAATCAACATCACCATCATGCATTGTGCCATCACGACACCCCACTGGAGGATCAGATAGGTAGCAGAGCAAGAATAAATGGAATGAACATGATCATTAATTAACAGCAGCAGCAGCTCCTATTCATGTTTTGTGGCTATTGGGACAAAAGATGCAGCTCAGCAGCTGACAGCAAGAGTGAGAAAGAA